ATCTAAGAGATTAGCTTCAGTCTTTCATCAGTCCTGAACCACAAACTGTCAGGCTACTCAGCTACTTTCATTATCAATCAGTCTGCTCTTATTTTAAATTTAAGTGTTCGTTGTTTAATCTATAATAAAGTCAACACAATTTAAAAGTTATCAGGCTGTAGTTATATGCAGATAGAGATTACAGACTGCCATTGGAGGAAGTTGGGGAATCGAAAAGAGTTATTATTTCTGTTAACTTTTGTTTTCTGAAATCTATCTTTATGTCATTAGCTAAGTCAGAATCTTAATCAGAATCTATGGGTTTTTGTATTTTATTAGTAGTTTTTTTGTTTGTTATTGTGCTTATTTACTGTTATTTTTCTATGTCACTGTTTGTTACTGCTCCTGCTCACACCCGTTCCTGATTTCATTGGTTTCACCTGTCACCACTTGCTTCATCACTCGCAGACTGACATTGTGCTTCATGCCATGTTCAGTTCTCTTCCACACCATAAGGTTTGAAATTTTGTTTTTTGCTGCCCTGTCATCAAAAAGATACAAAAAGCTGCTTTGTTTTGTAGTTCTTGATGGTTATTAAATATTTTACCTTTTAAACTCCTCATGTTGGTCTTTAATCTGGGTTCGATCTCTCAACAAACCGTGACAATTTTGATACTTTTTAACCTTTTCAGCCTTTAGACTTAAAAATTTCTGACACAATTTATCATTGTTATAGTTGTCTACCTACTAAGATGCTGCAAGAACAATTATCCATCCATCCATCCATCCAGCCATCCATCCATCCATCCCAATACTGCTCTCAGTACCACCTTACAGAGGAAGCTTTTTCAAATACTTCATTCTGGGGTAAACAAATCCAAATAAAAAAAATATGAAAGGACTAAATGTTATACTAAAAAAATAATTCACTGCAGTTCTACTGTGTTCTTCCAAGTATTTCTGCTGACTAAAACCTGGAAAGTTTCTGTTGATGCCTCTGCACTGCATGTTCTTTTTATAGGATGTTGCACTTCTCTTGGCATTTACTCTTATCGTTAGCAGAAAGCAACATGTTCCCTTTTCTGTTCCACGCATGTCTTGTAGCAATTTATACCAGGGACTCTGATGTTTCACCTCCCCGTCAAACGCGTTAGCAGCGCCAATACTGTAAGTGGCTGCGAGCACACTGACATCAGCTGAGTGATAAACCCACTCCACAGTGTGTGGGTGGTATGGGCTGTGTGTTCTGGGTGGTCATATTTGGGAAATGTGAAGTCCAATAAAGAAGCATTATTTGGAGGGCATTTTCATTCGGCCTGCACCAGATGTACACAAGCCTGAGGTAAACAGTCCTTGCAACACTTGGGGGATTTTTTTCCTCTTCTTCTTTTTTTCTGGCATTGTTTCTGTATTTCCTTTACCCAACGAGTTGGAAGTTTAATAAATTTACTTTGAAAACTTTTCATGAGCTGGTCAAGCTTGTGCCAAAAAAAAAACCTTTCTGACACAGACTTGTTGAAGAGCACATACATTCTGCCTGTGTCACCGCGTGTAAGCAGCTGAAGGATCACAGAGACCTTCAGAGGGAGCTGACCGACAGAGCGCACTGAGGATAAAAGAAAAGAGCGAATTAGTGCTCTGACTTCTTGACCTTGCAGTACAAGATGTCTTCTAAGTTCAAACCCCAGAGATTACAAGCTGAGCTGGTATTCAAAGTGGGTCTACACACCCCTGCAACCCTTCCCTTGCACATCACTGCACACTGTTAGTAGTGTGTAAATGTCATCAGTGTATGAGTATATTTTACATTAGCGTGTGTACATGTGTATTAGTGAGCGTCTTTATGTGTAAGGGTTTAGTAGTGTTGGTGGGCAGGGTCAGGGGTTGCTTGGTGGGGTTCTGGAGCCAACCAGAAAGCCAGCATTTTTCTTTATTGTTCAGGTTGGAGGAGCTGAAGGGGGCCAACGATTATTGATGCTGAAAGTATTGCCTTCTTACAGCAGGGGGTTAGCAATAAGCTTATGTTGGTGTGTGTGTAGAGTAGAACCTCATTCCAAGAGGAACCCACAAGGGGTGGGAAAGGGAAAGTAATTAGAGATGATATGGGACCAAAGGGAGGAAATTGATTAAAGAAAATGGGTAACCAGGAAGTACGCAGGGATCTTTGTTTGCTCTTCAATTATGCTGAAATGTCTCAGTAGTCTTTCAGTTTGAGCTGCATATGGTGGAGCTGGAGAGAGTGCAAAGCATGGGGAGCGCTTTGTTGGAGGAACTAGGGTTAAAGAGTTGACAGTGATGGATAGATGGACTTGTAACAGTCTGTCTTGAGGCCTTGTGTGATGGCCTCCTTATCTCAGTATCTTTACTTTATTCATCAAAGAAAAACTCATCAGACATCAGGTTGTCTAGAATATCTCTATCCTTATCATCCTGAAATGTTCCCAATGTAGCACACCTGTAAGAGGTTTACATTTTTAAACAACCACAACCCTTATTTAAGTGTTTGGGTTCATTGATAAATCAATCTCTGTGTTTATGCTTTGACATGTCTATTTCAACATTAAAACAAATGCATTTGTATTCATGTGGGGCACAGTGGTTCACTGGTTAAAAACCACTAAAAACCCAGCAGGAGCCAGCAATTAGATGGTTTATCAACAATTTATTTGAACAAGAAGAATTTTTCACTTGGAATTCGATGCAGTTTTTGTCCTTCTGTCCCTGAGTGATAACCATATCAAATTTCAAAATACGTTTTTCAAAAAAGCATGCTTGGTAATGACTGATTGTGATTTGACTCAAAGTCTTTGTTGTGTTTTTGGTGTCATCTTTTGAATGAAAGTTTTATCGTTACTCATGTTGCCAATCTGCACATCTCACAACATCTTGGCCTTCCCAGAAAAGGACCTTTTAGGATCCACCTGCACTTGGCATGCAACAAGTTCTTATCACTCTTAAAGATTTATGCTTTGGTACTGGTGCACATCAATAGACAATGTTGGAATGTAGATACCGATTTCTCCATTAGTTCACTTTCTTCGCAATGGGAATGTTATTCAGAAGTTCCGTGGACATGAAATCATTCTGAAGTTTCACATCATAACAAGCATTTTTTATTTCTAGGACCCAAATGCAGACACACATGAGGCAGCAGAATAGAAAAGCCAAAACCAAACTTTTCTGAACTAAATTTAAGCTCAAGAAATCTAACGACAAACCCATAAAAATTTACTTGCAATCTGCTCTTCTGTACCGTACCCCTGCCCTATAGGCAGGACTCTTTCAGAATGCAGTATTCAGTTATGTGCCCACCTTATCATGATCACAATCAAAGCCTACAGGCCCCTTCTCTTGAACCATGTCAAAACTTGTCAGGAACATAAGACCAGAGTGATCAGTACGACTTCAAAATTTTAACAACCAATTTACACCAGTTCAGACAAGTCATGGATCCACTCCCAATACTGTCCCTGCACTTCTCCTCAAAACCATTGAGGACACATAATTACATCATTGTTTAAGTCCACTGCCTTCCTACAAGCACCCAAATGCCTCACCAAGATCTTACATGTTTTGGCATTTTTTGTGCCATGGTGGTGATATCATGTGTCAGAAAACTGACAGTGAAAAGAAGCGAATACATTGAAAGAGGCTAATAATGAATGGAAACTGGAGAATNGCTTTAAAGCCTGAATTTTGCCTGAAACTCTCAGACTGAAGAAGTCTCTTGGAGGAGAGACGAAACGTTTCATTAGAGAAGAACCCGTCCAGAAGACCTACACGTTTTTTTTCTTTTTGTTTTGTAGCTCAAAACCATATAAAGCTCTGAGCAACAACTTATTTAGGAGTTAATAGTGATGCAAACGTTCAATTTATGCAATAGGATACTGAGAATGTAACAGTTCAATGTAACTTGGTGAAAATAATCAGAAGACTTCATGGCCTCAGTGACTGTACTGGATTTTAACTATTTCATGACATGTTTGACGGGGCAGACATTTGACAACAGAAGAGGAAAGAAAAGGATCAAATAAACTTAAAGACTTCGTTGAAGAACACAAGCCACACGCGTTTGAGACGGAGATCATCTCATGTTGAGACACGAAGTTGCAGCAAGTTTTGGTCAAAACTTTAAACTAAACTATTAAACGCTATCTCACGACAATATGTCACACTCAGAGGGGAACAACGATCAGTGAGGTGAGGCTGAGAAACTATCAGGACAAGATATGATCAGAGGAGTGGCTGCAGTGAAACGGGGTTTAGATGATGTTAGAATGAATTGGTGACTGAGGGAGATGTGGTTAGTGGCATAGAGGAACTCACAAAGACTAATCAAATAAAAACAAAAGTTCAGCTGAAAAAAGCTCAAATTTGCTGAAAAAAAAACTAAAAGGTAGCATAGATTGCAAAAAACAGCTGAAAAAACTTCAAAAGCTAAAATTAACAGAAAGAAGCTGTTAGAAACAAAAAGATTTAACTGAAAGGAGAAGAAAGGTAGCTGAAAAAAGAGAAAAAGCTCAAATTAGCTGTAGAGAACCAAAATTAGCACAAAGAAATAAAATAAAGAAACTACTAGAATAAAATGTGAATAGTACAGTAAAGATACACTGTATAAGCATTATTATATTTTCAGGATGTTAAAGCTTCATTTATTATTATTGAGAACAAAAATGTCAGAAAAAGCTTGAAGTCTCAATAAGTATAAATTGCTGAAATACCAAAAGTCATAGCTGGAATATCATGAAGGAGCTGAATATTTTGATATATAAATGGCTGAAAAATGTATGAAAAATAATTCATCTACAGCTCAGTAATGTGAATGCTTCATAATATTCACACAATAAGCTGTAGATACATTCAATTACTGTGCTCCAGAAATTATAATAAAATATGTCTAGTGGTTCATGAAATATTTTGCTAACACAAACAGGTTTGACTCTAATGTCTTTAAAAGAGATCTTGTGCAATAAGTGACACTCGGCTGAGTTATAAACCTTTTTGTGTTTCTTAAGCAGCTGCATCTGCATCAGCAGACCACATCGGTGAGTTTTTCTGTTTTTCTAGATGATGTGTTTTTGAAATTGTCTTTGTTTTGAAAAGCTTTGATTTGAAAAATATTTCCATAACTGATTTGTGGCTCTTTGTTTTTTTTTTTTTTTTTTTTTTTTTTTTGCTCTTCAGTAATCATCGTTCTGGGCTTAATGGTCCTTGTAGTGATTGCAGCTGGGGCAGTTTGTTTCTTTACACGAAGAAGAGTGAGGGTGAGTAGTTCCATAACCTAAGAAATAGCTGGACATGTTGGATCATCTTATATTAAGAAATGACAGAGATTCAGCTATTTTGGTTAAAACGTGAAAATATCATGATGCAAAATCTTCTAGTTTATATTTTATAGTTATGTGCAGACAAGAAGCAGTTGGCTGTGGTGAATTTCTGAAGTCCAATCCCTTTTGAATTGAGATGATTTAAAATATAGATGCACTGCCACTAATTACCGTGAGATTCATTGAAATCAGTCCATTGGTTCTAAAGACATTCTGCTAACAATGTTAACTTTAGCAGTTTATGCCAAGGTGCAAAACAAAAATGTGCTCTATGTGTGGAGGATACTGCTCAGTAACCTAGTATACTGTGATATTAGCTTAGTTATAGCTATTTTGTGTTGTGGCAGTCATCTTAAATTGGGCTGACTCCAAAGGAATTTCAGTTGTAAACAATACATTTCTGAATGTTTAATTTCAATTCATTTAGTGTTTCATGAAATAGCTTGCACAAAAGACAAAATGACAGGTTAACAGCAAAGTTTTAAACAAATCCCGTGTGATCGGCTAGCTCTTTAAGCTGAGGTTCAGTCTCAATTACTATCACATCAAAATTGCGTTCAGTATCTGTAAATCAGAGTTATAGCCATTTTTGTGTTTGTTCTGAATGCTTTGTCCCCACAGAGATACTCAGTTGACCTCACCCACAGAGCAGATGAAGCCAACATCCCTCTCAGTGCATTAGAACCTGAATTACCTGCTGAAGCTCTGCCTCCGAACGGTCTGATTAACATCTATGCTGATATATATATATATATATATATATACTCAAGAATGTCAGAAGACAACATAAAACTCCCCAAGAGACTTAACCATGACAGTAGATGGCACCAGAAATCCACTTCAGTTTCTTAAAGGTGTGATTTCCAGGCACATAGTTCAATTCCATATCAGAATCAAATATTACTATGTTCAGTAGTTGTGGGAAATCTGTATAAATTAAAAATAAGTTTGACTTTGCATCTAAATGCATTGAAATTGACCTCTCTTTAAGAATCTCTTACTGTTCCTGACACTCCCACTTCAGCACATCTTCAAAACAATGCTCCGGGGGAGGGGTTCTCTGTAGGGCGGGAGCTCGTCTGCAGACTGAGCTCCAGGGAGGTGTTTTGTTCAAATAGGCGGCGCTTTGTAACAACAAGTGTTTAGGCATCTCCACTTGGCTACCACAGGATATTCAAGGATTTCTCAAACATGCATGAATCAAAGCAACACTCTGGGCATGTTTTTTGATGAGGGAAGAACATTATAACACAATATAAAGCTCAAAACTGTCAAAATTATATAACATGACTTCCTGTGACTGTTGTTTCACCTCCATGCACTGATGAACTTTAACCTTTAACTGGTGTTGTTGTTTGTTTTAATGCTTTAGCTTTGTTTAAAAAAAGAGCTGCTAGTACGTAAAATACAATTTGTTTTGAAATAAAAAAATAACTTAATTAAAAATTAGACGCACACTCCAGAAGTGGAAAACAAGAAAGATATTGTCTTGGTCTTTTAACCTTTTTTACTCAGTCAGACACTGTTATTTTTCTGTTAACCTTTTGGCAAACGAGTATGCAGTGTGAATAGTTTTACAAGGCCAGGGAAAAATAACTGCGAAGGAAGCTGGTTTTGTCCGCGTGTGTGTGTGTGTGTGTGTGTGTGTGTGTGTGTGTGTGTGTGTGTGTGTG